TTCCCTAAGACCACCTTTGTCCTTTTTCTACTATCGATCAACTCCACGTATTCTGCTTAATGATACTGAGTCAATTCACTTCAAGAAACTAGATCGAACAAACCGTCATTCCACCCTCTACCTCACAACAAACATTTCTACCTTTGATGTAATAGGTGATAACCGAAGGAGAGCTGAAAAGTTGTGTCGGAAGTTACAACTACAGACCATCAGATTCTAGAGAACAGCACTCATTTAACCCAAAAACGCGACCTAACCACTAAATAAATATCCCCGTAAATCTGAGGTAGAAGATTTAAACCTCGTCGCGAACCAGGAACCACCATCACATCAGTATCTCGGTAACTCAACGAAATCTAAATCTGTGCACAAAACCTCTACCTTCATATGCTCCACAATCGAAGCGAACTTCAAAAGCTCCAAGTGTCTATATCAATAGGTTGTTGAGAGTGAAGGCTAATGTATGGTAACTGAAGTCGTCCTAACCATAGTGAGTTTGTCTGTCATCGCCACATCCGCGAGACTACAATTGTCAGAGTAAAAATCGAACACGAGTAAGATACTGCGACAAGTAGATACTTATCTCGGTGGAACAATCGATTATAGACCTCGACGTCCTAGTAAAACCGAAAATGCGACACAAACTTAAGGCTTGTAGAGGTAGGTAATACCACTCCGTAGTTAAGTAGGTAATGGATCCACTGCAGCCTTCATTAAAACAATGTGAGAATAAAAGTGCAGAAACGGAGCACGTAGTTCGCTACTTCTATCGTTATCTACTCCCAGTATTCTTACTAATATTAAAGCTGTGACGAAAAATGTAGGACAGCTAGAATAACTGACAAGCTCATCTGCCTACTCAAAGGTACCAGCTACACGTGTGTTAGTAAACATACTGCCGTCATCAGGAAGTAGTTTCAATCCTACACGTTAGTTGAAGTTGGATAGTCAAGTCAATACCCAACGTGTTACACAAATCACTGTGTGCATTCGTCTAGAACTATGGTTAAATGGCATGTTTATAAGTGGGTCAATAATGTACGGAACCTTAACAAAAACAAACTAAACAAGAAACACCTCACTTACCTCCAGAATTAGCTGTGTATCCTTAGGAATCTCTTTCATGATCTCAAGAGTCTTTTTCCATAGCATAAGGTCAGGAGAACAAGCGCGCTGAGTGTACTTCAGAATTTCAGCGATTGGAAGTTGATAACGCATTATGCGCTGCACGGGTTGCATTAGGTGTGAAACAACATCCTCCTTGTCACCAATATATATGCGCAACTCCTCGAAGAAATCCCGATATTGTTCTGCTATTAAAGCTGCCTTACGATGGTTTTCACAATATTTTGAGTATATAGATCTTAAGCGAGCACGTGAATCAATGAAAAGCTTTGGTATGCGATCCGGATCACTGTCCACAAGACTGACAAGCTTCTCAAGAAATGCTGAATGCCATTCATACAATTGAATCCAGTTCCCCCAGACAATTCTCCACCTTGCAGCTAGATCCTCTGGAGCAACTGGTGGTGGGTTCTGTGAATCACTGTGAGTTATTGGACCTACTGTGCCTGAGGGATTGTTATCAACACCTGAGGGAGCTGTACTAGGAGCAGAAACTGCAGGTATGTAGAAGTCCTTCACTAGCTTCAAACGTCGAACATAGCCTTCCTCTGAACTGACAAGCTCCATGAGGGGCTGTTTTCTTTGCAGTAAAGCACGCGAGACTTCATCGTTAGACGTGCTAAGACTGATTTCTGTTTTGGGACACTGGTCTTCAAGTTTAACAATGGGATGATCTTCGTTTGAAGAAAGATGCTCTTCGTTCGACTCCAGTTGAACTGTACAAGGTTCATCGCTGGCGAAACTTGGCTGACCAGCTGCCTCTTCAGTTGATGTTGTAGAGCTAGCTTGAATAACCATCATGTCCGATGAGACATTTTTTGACTCGATAAGGGAGTGGGATCCTAGTTCATCAGCAGACATGATTCTAGGATATTTGCAGTCACACACATCACGAATAAACAATGGCACATTGTTCGATTATTTTGGCTAGTAAACAAGCATTTGACTCAAAGGACTATTTATATAACACTACAGATAGTAATACGTGTCACAAATAACCGGAGAAATTATCCGAGGACGGAAAGTAGCCATCTAAACGAAAGTTGTACAGTGCGCTTCACAGAACTGATGCAAACAACTTCAATCTTCAATATGAACGCCATAGGTTTGGCGGTATACGGAATTTAAAGACATATTCATCTGATGAGAAAAGCTTTTTGTCCCTTAAACATTCGTATTCAACCACACATTCACAGTATTAGTATAGAGCGATGACACTGTTACAATAAGGGCTTTCACTGGTTTGCCATTTAGATGGAGACAGTTTGTCATCCAATATCCAATATGGTTTTTACGAGCTAGTATAAACCAATTTGATTTCTTTGTGCTCGCCTCTTGATTGTGAGGTACAGGTTCCTGATCTTCTGTAAACGTTTGCGTAGCTCATCCCGCCACTCGACTGTCGGTGCTTTGATTGACTCCAAAAGGAGTAGTGCAGGGATTAATTATATGTGGTTTGTAGTATGAGGTGTGTTAAGACTGTTACTACTGTGAATGGAGTTAATCCTTTCACCAGTTGGTCCTTCGACATCGTCGTCAATAGAAAAGAGATCATAATAATAAGAAGAATAGATATAATTAGTGAAGGTATTCGGACTAACAGACAGAAAAAGAATAAGAAAACGTAACAACAGTCAGTCAACCAGTATATATATACCGGTAATAATGATAATAATAATAGGTGTAGTTAAAGCTGTCAGGAGAGTAAGACCGAAGAGAATGTAAAGAAGTAAAACGACCAGTTTAGTTGTCTACCCTTGAATGGTGTATGCGATTTTAAGGGGATAGGCCATTTGGATGAAGTCCTTGTGTCGCTGCATGGTTGTCCAGCCTTCTCTTAAAGGTGTCCACAGACGTCATAGAGATCAAAGACTTGAAGTCCAGTCTGATCACTCCCCATGGATAACCAGAGCTCGCCTGCTCTCAGTAAAATCGAAAGAACTTATGCAAAGTGTTGACACTGTTTGTCACAAGTGTTGATAAGTTAAAGTGAATAAACCAATACACTTTCGACATAACTTAGTTTTATCTCCCCTTACGCCTAGGCAAAACAACACAGCTTGGAAGCACAAGGATTAATGACGCAGTGCGTTATCACATTGCGGCATTAACTCTTTGGACTCGTAGCGGTGAATAATTCCGCAAAATTGTTACACTACAGCATTCTTCATTCAACATTGGATGCTGATCTTCACCGTTTGAGTCGACGTGTTAAACTGGAAGTACGTGGTCAAGCATCCACACTATTTGGCACGCTGTTGTGTCGCGTTCGGTCGTTCGTGCAAGAACACTACCTGGTTGGCCAGTCATCATAACTCAGTGTTTCTGATCCTGAGACACACCTCGTATTTTGAACTACCAATCTGATGTTTTGACTTGTCTCTGGTCTCAGTAGAAATACTTGTGAGATGGTAGGATAAGTACTATCGCTTTTATATACCATCTGTATTCATTGTCTCCGAAAGACGAAACACACAATAGCGTGCCAAATAGTGTGGATGCTTGACCACGTACTTCCAGTTTAACACGTCGACTCAAACGGTGAAGATCAGCATCCAATGTTGAATGAAGAATGCTGTAGTGTAACAATTTTGCGGAATTATTCACCGCTACGAGTCCAAAGAGTTAATGCCGCAATGTGATAACGCACTGCGTCATTAATCCTTGTGCTTCCAAGCTGTGTTGTTTTGCCTAGGCGTAAGGGGAGATAAAACTAAGTTATGTCGAAAGCGTATTGGTTTATTCACTTTAACTTATCAACACTTGTGACAAACAGTGTCAACACTTTGCATAAGTTCTTTCGATTTTACTGAGAGCAGGCGAGCTCTGGTTATCCATGGGGAGTGATCAGACTGGACTTCAAGTCTTTGATCTCTATGACGTCTGTGGACACCTTTAAGAGAAGGCTGGACAACCATGCAGCGACACAAGGACTTCATCCAAATGGCCTATCCCCTTAAAATCGCATACACCATTCAAGGGTAGACAACTAAACTGGTCGTTTTACTTCTTTACATTCTCTTCGGTCTTACTCTCCTGACAGCTTTAACTACACCTATTATTATTATCATTATTACCGGTATATATATACTGGTTGACTGACTGTTGTTACGTTTTCTTATTCTTTTTCTGTCTGTTAGTCCGAATACCTTCACTAATTATATCTATTCTTCTTATTATTATGATCTCTTTTCTATTGACGACGATGTCGAAGGACCAACTGGTGAAAGGATTAACTCCATTCACAGTAGTAACAGTCTTAACACACCTCATACTACAAACCACATATAATTAATCCCTGCACTACTCCTTTTGGAGTCAATCAAAGCACCGACAGTCGAGTGGCGGGATGAGCTACGCAAACGTTTACAGAAGATCAGGAACCTGTACCTCACAATCAAGAGGCGAGCACAAAGAAATCAAATTGGTTTATACTAGCTCGTAAAAACCATATTGGATATTGGATGACAAACTGTCTCCATCTAAATGGCAAACCAGTGAAAGCCCTTATTGTAACAGTGTCATCGCTCTATACTAATACTGTGAATGTGTGGTTGAATACGAATGTTTAAGGGACAAAAAGCTTTTCTCATCAGATGAATATGTCTTTAAATTCCGTATACCGCCAAACCTATGGCGTTCATATTGAAGATTGAAGTTGTTTGCATCAGTTCTGTGAAGCGCACTGTACAACTTTCGTTTAGATGGCTACTTTCCGTCCTCGGATAATTTCTCCGGTTATTTGTGACACGTATTACTATCTGTAGTGTTATATAAATGGTCCTTAGAGTCAAATGCTTGTTTACTAGCCAAAATAATCGAACAATGTGCCATTGTTTATTCGTGATGTGTGTGACTGAAAATATCCTAGAATCATGTCTGCTGATGAACTAGGATCCCACTCCCTTATCGAGTCAAAAAATGTCTCATCGGACATGATGGTTATTCAAGCTAGCTCTACAACATCAACTGAAGAGGCAGCTGGTCAGCCAAGTTTCGCCAGCGATGAACCTTGTATAGTTCAACTGGAGTCGAACGAAGAGCATCTTTCTTCAAACGAAGATCATCCCATTGTTAAACTTGAAGACCAGTGTCCCAAAACAGAAATCAGTCTCAGCACGTCTAACGATGAAGTCTCGCGTGCTTTACTGCAAAGAAAACAGCCCCTCATGGAGCTTGTCAGTTCAGAGGAAGGCTATGTTCGACGTTTGAAGCTAGTGAAGGACTTCTACATACCTGCAGTTTCTGCTCCTAGTACAGCTCCCTCAGGTGTTGATAACAATCCCTCAGGCACAGTAGGTCCAATAACTCACAGTGATTCGCAGAACCCACCACCAGTTGCTCCAGAGGATCTAGCTGCAAGGTGGAGAATTGTCTGGGGGAACTGGATTCAATTGTATGAATGGCATTCAGCATTTCTTGAGAAGCTTGTCAGTCTTGTGGACAGTGATCCGGATCGCATACCAAAGCTTTTCATTGATTCACGTGCTCGCTTAAGATCTATATACTCAAAATATTGTGAAAACCATCGTAAGGCAGCTTTAATAGCAGAACAATATCGGGATTTCTTCGAGGAGTTGCGCATATATATTGGTGACAAGGAGGATGTTGTTTCACACCTAATGCAACCCGTGCAGCGCATAATGCGTTATCAACTTCCAATCGCTGAAATTCTGAAGTACACTCAGCGCGCTTGTTCTCCTGACCTTATGCTATGGAAAAAGACTCTTGAGATCATGAAAGAGATTCCTAAGGATACACAGCTAATTCTGGAGGTAAGTGAGGTGTTTCTTGTTTAGTTTGTTTTTGTTAAGGTTCCGTACATTATTGACCCACTTATAAACATGCCATTTAACCATAGTTCTAGACGAATGCACACAGTGATTTGTGTAACACGTTGGGTATTGACTTGACTATCCAACTTCAACTAACGTGTAGGATTGAAACTACTTCCTGATGACGGCAGTATGTTTACTAACACACGTGTAGCTGGTACCTTTGAGTAGGCAGATGAGCTTGTCAGTTATTCTAGCTGTCCTACATTTTTCGTCACAGCTTTAATATTAGTAAGAATACTGGGAGTAGATAACGATAGAAGTAGCGAACTACGTGCTCCGTTTCTGCACTTTTATTCTCACATTGTTTTAATGAAGGCTGCAGTGGATCCATTACCTACTTAACTACGGAGTGGTATTACCTACCTCTACAAGCCTTAGGTTTGTGTCGCATTTTCGGTTTTACTAGGACGTCGAGGTCTATAATCGATTGTTCCACCGAGATAAGTATCTACTTGTCGCCGTATCTTACTGGTGTTCGATTTTCACTCTGACAATTGTAGTCTCGCGGATGTGGCGATGACAGACAAACTCACTATGGTTAGGACGACTTCAGTTACCATACATTAGCCTTCACTCTCAACAACCTATTGATATAGACACTTGGAGCTTTTGAAGTTCGCTTCGATTGTGAAGCATGTGAAGGTAGAGGTTTTGTGCACAGATTTAGATTTCGTTGAGTTACCGAGATACTGATGCGATGGTGGTTCCTGGTTCGCGACGAGGTTTAAATCTTCTACCTCAGATTTACGGGGATATTTATTTAGTGGTTAGGTCGCGTTTTTGGGTTAAATGAGTGCTGTTCTCTAGAATCTGATGGTCTGTAGTTGTAACTTCCGGCACAACTTTTCAGCTCTCCTTCGGTTATCACCTATTACATCAAAGGTAGAAATGTTTGTTGTGAGGTAGAGGGTGGAATGACGGTTTGTTCGATCTAGTTTCTTGAAGTGAATTGACTCAGTATCATTAAGCAGAATACGTGGAGTTGATCGATAGTAGAAAAAGGACAAAGGTGGTCTTAGGGAATGAAGAAAGTCTTCACTGTCTAGATTGCAGAATCCCACCTAGCACGCTGCTTGAAGAATTCTTCTTAAGCATGAATACCGAAGAACACTTGACAGTAAGACGTGTTGTCGAGTATGATGGTACTTGGGACATGGTTGGTCAATTGGTTAACCATACGCTGTTGAGTGAGGCTTTTTATGTCGATGATGTCTACCTTACTGACTCAGTATGGAGATCAGATCACTGAGGATATCCCTATTTACATGATGTGGCACATTTTCCTATCGTAGCATGCTCCAGCGTCGTACTGAGTTAGTTTGCAGAGAGTAAAAGCTAGGGAAGAATTATGGACACATGAAGTTTGTTTCGATTCGTTGTTATTTATTTTTAGGCTGATTCTGAAGCAATAAGTTCGTTTTGACTGGTTTTGGTTGCAATGGTGAGGGATTACACAGCAACTGTTAAGTGAATTGCTACAGAAAGCTTTGCCGTTTAAATGTGGTGTAATTTAGTGAGTTGGAGTTATACGTTCTAGATTACAACCGAGCATCAGATAACAGATTCACCAAACCTCTAATGGAGGATTTCGGAGAGTATTGCAATATCCCTATTTTTGTGCATGTATAGATAACGCATGTCCGCCACATCCTAAATTTTCTTAGTGTTTCTCTAAGGAAGTATTCATGGTTGAGTATGTTAGCGAATTTTTTCGAGTCCTCCTAAACAGTACATGCACCAGATTATTCATTCACGTTTGCAGTACCTATTTGAAGTGGTCTCATCCTACTTGTCCTCACACGTCGGTGTAATAGTGTGGGTTCTACGTGGAAGGTCTGAGGACCAGTCAGATGTGTTATACGGTTGAGTGGCAGAATAATGTTGGTCGAATGGTCCTGAATAACCGACTGGAAACTGAAGATTTTATGATAAATTTTGAATTCAAGACTTTACAATGCTTACTGGGGCGATTACCATTTACCCTAATTCTTAATGCTAATATAAACCTACGCTTTACCTGACTTCTAAACATATTCCTAGTCCGTCTCTTGACCGCAGCCTTCTCCTATCTGTAATTTAACCCTTAAGGTAGAAGTATGCTGAAGCTGGTTAACAATAAACTCTTGAAGCGAGACGTACACAGCAGGCATGACTGGGAACATGATCGTCTACTTCAGCGTTAATGGAAATATTGTCTGTGCTGTACATTTCTGTATGACTTAATTCGTAGACCTCTTTCACAATTTTTATAGCTTACTTGACTCGTTATGTTATCACATGTGTTACTTCCTTATCAAAACTTTTGCATTTTTCACCAAAAATTTTTTTAACCGTAACGTCTGCAGACTGTTTCTTATTTCTCTTTTATTGGTTGAACGGTCACTAGTTATTTTACTGCTATTACTCTTTCTGTCTTCAAGAATCTTGAGAAAAGTTCCTTTTATTAAATTACTCTAAAATATTTTCTTAAGGCAAGTAAATGTCTTCGCGGCAGTCATTCAGATTAGGACATCATCTTAAAAGTATTGAGATCCGACTGCAAGAAAATTCTTCGTTTATGAACGAACTATTGAATGGCAACAAGGAAGCTTATTTAACTTCGTAAATCACTGGTATCATCTTAATATGTATATTGTCAGTACATTGCCAGTGTTTGAGGTCGGAAACCCTTCTGTTCAGTTATTTATTTGGCTCAAGATAACGCATCGATAATTTCAGGGTTCACCTGAATTTTCCTATCAAATTCACTGGAAAATGTAACACAACAGCCTGGTAAACGACTGAGTTTGCGGATACAGTATCTAAATATTGATCATTGTCAGCTGTTCTTGGTCAACGATAGTGCTACATACGTTTGCTGCTTTTGATAATCTCCTAAAGAGGAATTTCAAGCTATTTGTTTCCACAAACGGCGTAATAGGATACTGTGAATTTTCACTCTGTATAATGTAAGGCCTCATCTACTAATTTGATAAGTTTGTTGGTCATCATAATTGTGGCCATGAGTGTGACTGTATATTTGGAACATGGTTAGTCGTTGCAGTCAGCTATATCGACTTCCTAATTCCCTAGGGCCTGTAATGGTTAGGTACTGCAAGTTAAACAACAGGCCTAGGAAGTAGTAGATTTCAGATGTACTGATATCCTGGTGACAATATCCAAATTTTTCCGACACAGATTTTTGGGATAGTGTTTGATGGCATAGGGTGACTGAAAGCATATTGCAACTTTTGTCCTCTTATTAAAGCCTAATGAGCCTTTAGTCTTCTAAGTATGCGGTCGTATACTTTGATTTGAACCCGGTAAAATATGATTCTCAGTGATAGAACGATACTGAAACTTGAAGATAATTAACCATATCTTTTATCTATTTTCCAGGCTGCACGAATAGATGGGTTTCCTGGTGTAATTACTGCTTTGGGTAACATTCTGTTGCGTAGTGATCTGCTTGTGGCAACAACTACTCGTGAACAGTTGTTAGAGATGGTCGGTGCTTATAAGATGTCCCTCCAGAATTCGGCTAGTGGTACAGCTCCTGAAACTAGTACTGCACCAAACAAAATCCCTCCTCACTCTGGACGGTCAGGAGTGAATTCAAGCATATCATCTTCTATAGATACTTCGAATATACCAAATTCATCATCTGTCACAGCAAACAATTTAGCGTTGCAATCTCCCGTTGAAGCCCAAAGCTCGACTACTTTTGAAGGAAGTGGACTTTTCACAGGGAATTTTAAGTTTGTAGAATGTCGTTTATTTTTATTCGAACAAATGTTACTGGTAACAGAGGAAGTCAAGCCAAAACGACGCGTGACCACTAGCGATGCTTTTGCCCAGTCTACCTATCAGTTCAAAGCAGCAATAAATGTCAATAAGATGCGTTACGAAGTAAGTATAAATTGTCTGTTGTTTGTACTGTTGAGCCGTATTTATTGTACACTAGGCACAAATATCCAGCAATAAAGATGTTTTATTGACAGTACATTGGAAGTGAGATTCCGAACGGTCAATGTCGTTCTCTCTCATACAACTGCTTCGTTATGCAGACTGTGTTAGTTGCAGTTTTTAATTTGTGTAGCAACAAACTCTGGATGGTACGGACTATAACGTTGCATACAATAACACCATGTAACTTTCATATCAATATATACTTTGCTGAGGGCAGGAGATCTTTGAGAGAGCAATTAACTGACTGACTGGTTCCAACATAGAACTTTGCACAGAAGTGCAACAGTGTTCAACTTTCCACAATTCCTAATGCACACAAATGAATACAAAAGAGAAAAAAGACATTTGGAAAGAAGATAATAAGCAGAAATGCCAAGGAGAAAGATCAATAACCTGGAAAAACATTAGGGTTTAATAGAACCACTGACAAGGCCCTTGAGCTATATCACCAATCGTCTCCAGTCTTCATTGCTTCTTAGGATATCGAAGACTCCAATCAGAGACAGTTTACACATCCATACGTGACTGGTTCAAACTAGCTGACTACCGATACAAGTATAAAACTCGGGCACTGTGGTAGATTATAACTCCATTATAGATAAGATTTTATTTTGACAAGTCACAGTGTTATACAGTAATATTAACTGATGACGTTTCGAGCACAATTTATTGCCACTCATAATCATATCAAGTCACTCACACACAACTTTCTCGCTTCATTTATATACATGCATTGAGTCATTTCTGTTGCACGTGTTGTGTTGGATGTAGACTCGATGAACCAGGCAGGATTCAGTAATCAATCTCTCTCTCCACCTGCTAAGATTACTTCTTAGAATCTTAACCCTTTCCCACCGACCCTATTGTGTGGTTGTGTTAATGTATGTGGTGCAACTGGTGAGCTTTTTTCTAAATTACTTATCTTCTTGGGGTCAACCATTCTTACCTTAGCCTTATTCTTATGTTCTGATAATCTCCCAACTCCCGATCTACTAGTTTGACTGGTTTATGTAGTTGACTTAACTCACAGTCATTGCAAGGTATTTTGTTTAATTGGGTCCACCGGGTCAAAGATTTCATGAACTTATTGAATGTTTTGGTTTGACCACAACCAACTCTTTTCCAACCTGATCCATCCTATGTCAGCTAACATTGTGACATTGAAGAAGGCGCTGGCAAGTGACACAATGAATGGATTAAACCAATATGTCTAATTGGAAAGATTTTACTATCTTACCTGAAAAATTAACCTTGGATTGCATGTCACACTTAAATGTGAAAATAAATTTAGCGTGATAAGAGAAGTGGGAATTAATTAATGGAAATTATTGGAATAATTATAATATTTCCACATAGATATTCCTCACGATTAGTAGAGGATTCAAAAACAAAAATACCAGTGAGCTACAAATCTTCTCCATTATTTCACAGTGCATTTATGGCTGAAGTTATGCTATTTGTGAACATACGTCACTTATGTATCCATGAAAGTATTGAATAGCTTTACTTTCTTCACAGGAAAAAAAACGGAAGTAGTAATGGGCCACTTATCTAGTGAGTGAAGCGGAGTTTGAACCTCGTAGACATCACTTAAAGGTTACATGTCAAAGGAAATGAATGTGATTTACATGTGTGTGTGTGTGTTTGTTTGTGTATGTCTGGATTTCACTGGGTTTTTGTGTATTGTTCTCTCCAAAGCAAAGTTCTGGTGGTCAAAATACAGAAAGCATTCAATATTATATGATAGTAATTGAAAATATTTCGTGTATGTCGATATTTTGTTGGATGTTTACGGGTGTTTTTCTGCGTATCGATCGGTACTTACTCAGCAGATTATGTACAACAATCGGCAGTCAGGAAAGCAAATCGGTGCGGCAAAGTTCAACAATAGCGTTCCGAAGGAGGCGAACGCACGAATGTCTTTGAGCCAACCAATTATAGTAATATGGGATTTATTGCATAAAGATGACGTATATTTACAAGAAAATGCATGAAAATATATTATACAGAGTATCTTTCTCTGACATGATTTAAAAATACGTCCCAGTTATAGTGAGGAGTATTAGTTGCTAAGTTAGACTAGTTTCTGTACATGTATTCACCGAGGTGACTGAAGGCGAGCTGTTTTTGTGAATCATTTATCTCCCTCATCCTGTTGTGCAGTCTTCCCCAAAAGCCTTCGGTTGAATTACTATGGTTTCCATAGTAAGAGGATCGACAATTGTTAACTACCACCTACCAGGAAAATGTGGATAATAAAACAAATTAAAATAAATGACATCAACTCTAAATCTATCCCTAATCGTAACCCTAATCTTAATCCTCACCCTAACCGTAAGCCTAACCCCAGTCCTAATTATGACCCTAATCCTTACCCCTTACCCCAATACTTACCTTAACCCTAATCCTAACCTTGACGAGCTATTAACACATTGTCGAAACATTACGTAGAAAGGTGATCTGGGTGAATAGCATTGATATTTCAGCTATGATAATGACAGTTGCCGTTAGCCAACGACTAGCATGTGTCCAAGGTCATTGAAGCGTTTGCACTCCTGGAAACGCTATTGTTGAAAGACAATTCGTTAAAATATTCACAATATCCACGGTGTTTTGTTTTCATTCTTAGTGGTATTCAATAATAATGTATACGAGATTTCCTGTCTGTCTTTTGTTTTTTTGCAGTCTCACTGGTACAACTGTTGTCTTTCAAGTGGTCATGTGAATTCAGATGCAGCCACTGTTGATCATCTGCTGTGTGGCGCTTATTCTCCCGATGATCTGCGATTTGCAATTTTAGATCAAACACCTGGAAAAGATATTGTCTATGTAATTGATCCTGTTACATGTTCGAATAGAGAAGCCTGGGTTGTACAGTTGCGTGATATACAGCATATGCAACATGAATTTTTACTTGCACTTCAAGATCCAAGAAGATTTAACACTGGTGCTCGTGATGAAGGATGGGGTATGTTGCAGTTGTGTAAAATTAATTTAAATTTTTAAATTGAATTTGTTGGGGAAATTGACTCTCATATTTTTTTTGCTTTGGTTGTTGAAGTTACTCACCTCCAAAATACTATCAATAGGGAATTCTTCTCTTGGTTACTTTGTTTTCGGTGATAACTGCAAACTTATCGAGTTACCTTGACAAGCTACCTTAGATAGGGCTACCCATAAGTTGACATCTCTATTTTGTCGTATTCTGTGCAGTTCTCTTTAGCTGGCCGCACAGTTGCCCATATTCTCTTACCTGTTCCTCTCACGATCTCCTCCATACCACCCTCCTGGCCCCACCCGAGGGCCTGACAAACGCGCAATGTCGTTTGACGGTCTCCGTAGCGTATGTCCAATCCATATCCATTTTCTCCGTCATATTTATTGTGCAATAGTTTCCTGATTGGTTCGTTCCCAGAGTTTTTTGTTGCTAACCATTAACGACCGGCTGGCCATCTGGTCTTCACAATATGAAGCCAGCGAAGGCAGCTGTTGGTAAAAGTCTGCTTCAGTGGCGTTTTCGAAACGGCTTTCGTGACGCGTGAGACAACTTTCTGATCCGTACAGAAGAACCGACTGACTTGAAATTGATGTTGAAAATGTAAATTTCATTGTTAATGTTGAGGGTGATGAAGGTCTGTCCTGCCTTTCCGACTTTGGTTTTGACGTCGTCATCTGTGCTGTCGCCTGTAGTTGAAATGGTGGTGCCTGGATAAGTGAATGAAGTGACCTCTTTCAAATTTCTTCTGGTGATAGTGATTGGTGCTTGTCGTCATTGTTGTTCGTTGGCTATCTTCATCACTTCCATCTTCTCTATGTTCACATAGAGTCCTGTGTTTGCTGCTTCTTCTGCCAGCTTGTTGGTTTTTGCCAGTAGTCCTCGAATTTGTGTGACATTAGACATAAGTCATCCACAAAGTCTAGATCGTTTAGAGTCATCTTATCTGTCGAACGTATTCCTGTCTTCTTGCTCCTCACGTACGATGTGTCGGATATTCCAGTCCACCACGTTTAGGAATATCATTGACGATAGTAGGCAGCCTCGTCTTACTCCTGTATTCTAAGGCACATGTAATATATATATATATTCGTGTGTAAAAGCGATCATATTTCCATTTGATTCTTTCTTGTTTTTCTGAAATGTGGCAACCGCATTCGAGCATAAAATAATAAAATGTAAGGCAGCTCCACAGTTGCGTGTGCGGTTTTGTTATAGAAAATGGATTTATTAGTTGCATACAGACGTCTTTTTATAGTGATAATTGATAATTAGGTCACCTTTTCTTTCGCTTTGAAACATTATCCAACGACTTTATAAATTTCCTTAGTTTCTATTTATTTTTTTGGAACACTCATTTTATTTGTTCACCAGTCGTTTTGTAATCAAGCTCGTAGTGCTAATTATAGTTTTGTTTATAGAATTAAACATTCTATGAAAACTGTAAATTATTCGATGCGTTATGTGTGTGTGTAGTCCTAATAGGTGATAATTATTGTTTCAAGGTTGCCTCACATCTTTGTCTGCCGTCATTATTAGGAAATTTTGGAACCTGTGGTAGTAAGAAATCTCACGCTCAAATCCTTTTTAATTTGGCACTACTACTACTACTACTTAATCTATCAAATGTGAACTTCATGTGAGATTGAGGTGCTTTTTTCGATATTGCGTCGTTTCTAACCAGTTTAAATATTAAGCGTTAATGAGACGTGCGTAGTACTAATTTGTGCATACAGAAGTCTTAAATTGGGGTGGGGGGTGGGGGTGAAGGTGTGCAATTTGGGCTTTTCAAAACCTTCGTTATTCAATCGGTCTGAACGTGTTTAATGCACATTTCCTCATGACTTTACACTTTTTCATCTCGCAGATTTAGTTGCATTACAAGCTGCAGATCACATTTAGTGTCTGCTGATGAGTAAACTTTACTTCGGCTATCTCCTACGGGAGGATGAGCCGGCTTCATGAACATCTCGAATCATCGCTGCCCAGGCGCGGCAATCTGATGCAAAGTTTTGCGACGGGGTTATCCAATTCTTGTTCCACAGAAGGAGTCCGTAGACGGTTTGTAGCCTCAGGCACTCCATATCAGCCTTGACTGTACCAAGCCATGTTTCCAGCTGTCCACCCCTGCGACATCGCCAAGATGGTAATGGCGAGGGATTTAGAACTGATTTGACCAGATCGTCATCTGGTCGGCGCAGAACATGGCCAAACCACCGAAGGCGACGTTGTTGGACCAGTACTGGAATTTGGTTGATGTTTAGCACAGGGCGCGTCGCTTACCGGGAACGCCGTAGCATGGTGAGAGTCGTTTGTAAGAGAGTTCATGAAGTTTCATGGGAATGTGGTACGAGTGATGTCCCCAGAATCGCTCGGCTTTTTGTTTGAGAGTGCAGCTCTAGACTTCACACAACCAAGTGTGACCTACAAGGCAGTAGGAGTGGAGTAGGGAGTCCACTATCCATTGGCAGCCGGTGACCGGAGTTCGGTTCATGCGCCTTTTTGAATGGGGCCAGACATCCAACAAGCCCTTTGTCCATACGTCTGCCGGTGAGCTCCAGTGAGCTTCATACGCCAGTCGTTGGAGGTTTGGAATCAGGGTTTAGCCATCTCCCCTAGACTGTCATCCAATGGACAGTCAACCCGGTGAAGAGCGCCGGGCATCCGCTTTCGCCCTCTCACTTTGGTGGAAAACACCTCCGCCACGTGAAGGCAGTGAGTAAACATGCTCTGCCAACACCCATGTAAGTTGGGTACAATCACTAGCTGGCTTAAACTATTCAGCCAACAGAAATGATTTCAAGTCGTTCAACTTATCTCAATTTTGTCAAGTGCAGGTTTTCAGGGATTTGATTGGTTCTAGGTCTGATCACGAACTGACATCGGTTAGAGAACCATTGGAAAACCACCAGGGAGTGCTGGACAACTGTCTCTTCCTAATTTGGGGCTCTTTATTGGTCCGCACCTACTGACAGTTACTCGCCTATGACATCTATCTGGAGGTTGTGCTATAAATTACGACTCGGCAGAAGTGTGGAATTCGTGGGCTGCCCATTGGAACGGGTCGCTATTTAACCGCAAGTACCTATGTTCGAGTCTCAGTGGGTGCGTAATATTGAAGAGTTCAAAACTAGGACGAGGCAGCTGTCCGGTACTCACTACCTGATCTTCTAGTGGTCCTCCAACTGATGTCAGCTCATGATCAAGCTGGTAATTGATCAAATCCCTGCAAACCAACACTGGACAGTGGTTACCAACCCTTTTCGAAGGAATTGAAGTCCTTTTTTATTCCTGTAAACAGTGAGGTATCATATGCATCTCATAACTTTTATTTTTTCGTAATCTCTCTTTGGTTAATCTTCTTTTCATTGGTTATTCTTCTGGGTAGTGTGTTTTCCATTATGACATAATCAGCGTATTACATTACATCATGTCACATCACATCAGTCATTAAGCAAGTCATAAACATCCGGACTATTTTCGTTAATCGTATAAATTATTATTTTTTTCTTCAGCCAAAGATGCATTACCGCACGACCCTGTATCAGCGCTTAACGCCGACCAATCTGTCCGAACAGATGCTCAATTATCTATCTCAGCATCATCGACGAATAGCCAAGTGAATCAACAAAGACAACGGAAGTGGCCAAGCTTCACAATGAAACGTCCAGTTCGACTCGGGTCGAATTCATCTACTGTAAATACTAAAGAAACGCCAGTTGGTGGTGGTGGTAAGCCTATTCCACGTCCAAATATTGTCACAAAATCAGAATCACAGGATCGGCCGAATTGTCTTGCTCGCTCCTTGTCTGCTGAACGTCAACCATCAAATCGAGATAAACTTGTTGACGCTAAATTCACTACCTGTGATGAACGAACTAATGATGATGGCGTCTGTGAAGCATCAGTTTATCGGAAATCTTCTCAAAGTGCAAACAGCTCTATAAAGTTGACCAACCAGTCTCTTGTAAGTTGGAAATAACTCTTCTTAATTCATTTATGCACTATCTTATATTTGTATAATTAGATGAGGAAACTAAACAAGACTACAATAACATAAAATCCTATCGTATTAGAACAAACATTAAATTATTTTTGTTTTGAACCGGAAAACTTTCTATAAAAAAATCTGATAAACAGCATTTTTTTTTAAGGTGCGCATTATTTTTAGTGCCGCTTATATGCTCTCACTTTCGATACAGAAATCTCGTTGACTGAGAATATGCAGATAATATAGTCCTCCATCCTAGGTGAAGACGCTGACAAGCTGTAGAGGCTTCTGAACACCTTGTGCAGAAATGAAATTCATAACAGTTAGTTTAAGCCAGCCAGCCTGCCACATCGGGAGGTGTAGACTGCTGTCTGGCTGGTTAGAGTCCTTGGGATGGAAGTAATATATACGCAGGTTAATCATTAATATTCATTATTATTTCACACACTAGCATAATTATTGATTTAAATTACTAAATTCCCAAGGTCGTTAATATTTTTAAAATGGGACATTGATTTTTCTAATTGTATAAATACGGAGTTGTTGTTTAACATTTTCGACTGTTGTTTGAGACAGTAAAAGCTCTCATATCAACGTCCAGTCTTCTCTTTTATTTGTCTTGCGTGCCCGGCGGTATTATTGTTGTTGTTGACGTGCGATCAGGACAGATTAGCCAGCGCATTAGTTAGATTCGCTCGTAGTCTACAAGGTCCTCATATTCACATACATAACAAATTTGGCGACGGGTTTGCTGAAGATGGACCCACTGCGTTTAGAGAAACTAATGGAACAGCAGCTAAAATTGATGGAAATGCTTGCTGGTCTACAAATATCACGCTCTGCTGATTCATCTACAGCCAACGACAGCATTGGTAGTAGCATCTCAGAATTCGTTTATGATCCAGATGCGAACGTAACATTTGATACCTGGTTTCGCAGATATGAAGACCTATTTCGAGTAGACTTTGCGGACAAAGATGATGCCTGGAGAGTACGGCTTCTACTTCGTAAATTGGGAGCAGATGAACTAGATAAATATTGCAACCTAATTCTCCCACAGAAGCCCAGCGAAAGATCATTCGATGAAACTGTCCATACCCTTCGTCATCAGTTTGGTGATCAGAGATCTTTATTCAACATTCGATATCATTGCATGAAACTATCTCTGAACGAAAATGACGATATCCATACTCAGTTGGGCATAGTCAATCGCACGTGTGAACGTTTTAAATTGAAATCACTCTCAGAAGATCAGTTCAAGGTATTGATTTTCATTTGTGGTTTGCAGTCTCCCAAATTTGCTGATATACGCACACGCCTATTAAATCGTCTGGAACAAGATCCACGAATGACTTTGAAAGACGTCGGTGAAGAATATCAGCGTTTAATCAACATTCACAACGATACCGTCTTGCTGCAGTCTGGCAGCCAAAATGCAGCAGAAGTGCATGCGTTGCATCCAGTACCGTCGACATCAACCGCACCGCTTCGTCCTCAGCATAAACCACCATCAGCCTGCTGGCACTGTGGCTCCTGGCATTTCGCAAACTTGTGCCCATTCAAACAGCATAAATGCCGTCAATGCCATACTGTTGGTCACAAAGATGGCTACTGCAAACGCAACAACCGACCCAGATCTCGTAGTCGACCCAGACGGCGCAACAAGCTCAAGTCTTTGGGTGTTACTGCCACATATCATATTAGTACTCCAGCACCTCACAAATATATCAATCTGACGATTAATACACGGCCGGCACGCCTACAAATCGACACAGCATCCGATATTACAATAATATCAAAGAAATTATGGCAGAAGTTGGGATGCCCTGCCATAGAGAAGACAAATCAGATAGCAACTAGTGCATGTGGTGGAAGACTTCGATTGAATGGAGAAATTAAATGCAGCGTTGGTTTTCGCGATAGTCATTTCATCGGCACATGCTACATCAATAATTCAAACCTTGACCTCTTGGGTTTAGACTGGTTCGAGAAGCTGCACCTGTCAGAGATTCCGTTAAGCAGTGTATGCCAAAAGATCGAAAGTATTGAACCCTCAACAAGAAAGCCAGAAATCAGAGACAGATATATTAAACCTAAGCCCATTAGAAAGAATGACGTGATTGATGAAACACCAACTTCGAATCGTCACAGTGAGTATGGCTGCGCCAAAAGTGCTTCGATGTCTGGTAGCAACAAAGTAGCAACTGTTAGCTCCCGTAAGACGGGCTCTGCTCAAAAACTGAAGGTGATGTCTGTCACGGCAGCCAAAGATCCGCCGCGGGAGTTACCGAGAGCATGGCCCACGTCAAAACCATGGTCCCGCCTACATGTGGATTTTGCTGGGCCGATAGAAGGCATATACTACTTGGTTCTCGTGGACTCTTACTCAAAGTGGCCGGAGGTAGTACAAGTGACACCACCGTCTAGCAGCAGAACAGTATCAGTCCTGGAAAAGATCTTCGCATGTCACGGTATACCAGAAATCATCGTATCTGACAATGGCAGTCAGTTCACCTCACAAGCGTTCCAGGAATTTTGCAAGAGAAACGGTATACAACACGTGCGGACGCCACCTTATCACCCTCAATCCAACGGTCAGGCAGAAAGATTTGTCGACACTTTCAAACGAGCGTTGTTGAAAGCAGGGGGAGGGGCGAAACCGGAAGCAATACAAAACTTTCTTTTTGTATACCGAACTACACCACTGGCAGAACAGAAGAAAAGCCCTGCAGAACTTCTAATGGGTCGAATGCTACGAACTCATCACCACTCCATGTTACCATCTTCGTCACATCAACGAAGGAATAGTGTGACGTATTACCGCAAGGGTGATGCCGTCTATGTGCGCGATTATCGACCGAGGAACAGAAAATGGGCCGAAGGCTTGATAGAATGTCGACATGGAACTGTAATGTACAAGGTTAAAGTTGGGGATGAATGGTGGATTAGACATAAAAATCAGATACGACGTCGATATACTACATCCCAAGAACCTAAATTGCCACTGGAATTACTACTGAAAACTTTCAAAATACCACCAGTCAAACCAGAAGCAAAACAAGAGATGCTACCCAGCCGACGATCCCAGCGCAAACGAACACAAACAGTTCCTTTCCAAATCGACCCCAAGAAAAAAAGATACTAAACTGTTTGCAAGATTTCTTTTAAAAGGGGGAGGTAATATATACGCAGGTTAATCATTAATATTCATTATTATTTCACACACTAGCATAATTATTGATTTAAATTACTAAATTCCCAAGGTCGTTAATATTTTTAAAATGGGACATTGATTTTTCTAATTGTATAAATACGGAGTTGTTGTTTAACATTTTCGACTGTTGTTTGAGACAGTAAAAGCTCTCATATCAACGTCCAGTCTTCTCTTTTATTTGTCTTGCGTGCCCGGCGGTATTATTGTTGTTGTTGACGTGCGATCAGGACAGATTAGCCAGCGCATTAGTTAGATTCGCTCGTAGTCTACAAGGTCCTCATATTCACATACATAACAGGAAGGCTGGAGACAATTTGTGGTATGCAATTCCATATTAGTTTGTTTATTAAATATATCACACACGACATGAAACAGTATTATTTACTGGATGATAATGTTTGGAACAAAATTTATTATTGTTCATAATCATATCGCCAATTATTATCACACGACTTCGAAACTTGAGTTTTATAGTTTCCTTTGTTCTCTCCTATTTGTCGTCGTAGGGTAGTAGAATTTTCCAGTTATCTGAGGAAGGTGTTGAATCATTCCTGTTACATGTATTTCCAGTTGATTCGATAAATAAAGCCTCAGTCAGTTTTCAATCTCTCCCTCCACCCAGCTGCTACATTAGATTTTAAAACTGTCATCTTATCCCATCCATCCTATTGTATGGGTGTGTATAATTTCATGTAGTGAGTACTATAGCTGAACTATTCTCTAGATTTCTTATCGTATTCGGGTCAACTAATGTAGATTCTGCTGGGTTTTTATGTTCGGCTAGTCTGACTACACCTGTTCTACTACTTTGACCTGTGTATTTGATCTGACAATCACTGCAGCTGGGTATTAGATAAACTAAATTGTTTTGTTTTAAAGGCTCCACAGGCAGGATCCTTTAATCGACAAAGCTTGTTTCTAATCGAGATTGTGGGTTTTGATATGGTTGTGTTCTCTGAGCTGGATAGTTAATTTGCGAAGCTTGCACTGCCCCTCACTAGGCAACATCTTCAGCGAATACTTCAATTTGAAGTGAGCTTTTAGATTTCTCCACGAGTTTAATAATCATCTCTCCTGGTGACCTTTGACGTGATTGGTTGGTTTGTGTGTTTTCACACTTTCTAGGCTACTTGTATTGGAACTGATTGTTTCTTTGACTTGAACTTTGACCCTTTGTGTGTGTGTGTGAGGTTTCTTTCTTATCGGTTGATAAATTTTGTCAATCTCGATGTGTCTATTGATTGGTGATTCACTGGAATGCCAAGCTTCTAAAAATTCTCTGGCATTCTTGTTGTTTCCTCTGTCTAATATTTGAACATTGGTTGTCCCAGTCGAATTGATGTGGTTTTTTTTTGTTGTTGTGAAGAGTAGATAAACAAGTAGATGTTGTGCTTATAACTCTCGCATTGTAGACTTTATCGCTGTGTTGTTATAGTACTAAATTATTTATCTATGAGCTGAGTTAATTTTTTTTTCATACAAGTCTCGTAAAAATTTCTCCGCGTGTTTCTAAACAATGAAGAAAAACAAACAGAAAGCCATTGCAACTTCTAGAAGTATAGTGAGAAAAAAAGAGACTTCCAATAGATATTTGTATATTATCAGTTTGAATATCTACACATTTACACAAACCGGCATCTTATAGGAAGGCTGTAGAAGATCTGGATTTCGTGGGTGGGTAATTTTTGCCTGATATATCAAATAAAATCAAAGACTTACAGGTGAAAACCAAAATTTTGACGGAAAAGTCTGAAAGAGAAGATGGGATTTCAAGTAAAGTGATGAAGATAACCAACCAACCAATCACTGTTAGCGGGAGAAATTTGAAAGAGATCACTTCCTTCACTTATCTGGCCTGGCTGGCACCATCGTTCCAAATACAGGCGACAGAACAGTTGGGGATGTCAAAACCATAATCGAAAAGGTAAGACAGACAGACCTTCACCACGCTGAAATCAGTTTGGAAATCTTCCGAGCTCAATATTGACAACGAAATTTGGATTTTCAACACCAATGTTAAGTCAGTGGGTGTTTCTGTATGGTTTAGAAACTCGGCGTACGTACGTGCGAGGAAAAGCTTTCAGACAAACCACTGCCACAGACTCTTATCAATAGCTGCCTTCGTTGGTTCCATATTGAAGATCAAATGGTCAGCCGGCTAGAAATAATTGGCAACTGAAAACTCTCGAAACGAACCAATCAAAAACCTATTGCTCAACAAATATATGCCGAAGAAAATCGGGGAGGCCGTTTTTGGATGACACCGTGCTGCAGGCCCTCGGGTGGAAACTGAATGTGTAGTGATGGGTTAGGCGTGTTTCCAAGGTCGATATGGAGGAGATCGTGTGAGGTGGTGAACATGAAAGCCTGGAAAATCGTGGAGACAGCTAAAGAGTAAACTGCAGAGAATAGAAAAAAATGAAGATGTTCTGCTGAAGCTTCCCTGTATTCCACTCGGAACTCAAGGGAGTAATAATACCATCAATTCTCATTGACAAAGAGTATATGTACCTGTTTTCAGTGTTCTTTTTGTTTCTTAAAATGTATTTTTGTAAGTGAATCACTATATTAGTTTGTGTACTTTCAAATATTTCTTTTTACAGTATTTGTGACTATATTTTCTATTCTGTGTGTTAATTAATTGTGATAACATTGTTGGTGCTAGTGATTATTCTATCATTATAATATACGGCTACGTGCGTTATTTTCTAACTGGGTTACTTATAGATGAATAGAAACCCCCTCCCCCTTTGGTTGGTGGTGGTGTCTAGCCTTTCTTTAAACTATGCGCGCGCGCCTACATTATTTAATAATATCGCAGTGTTTATTTTTCTCCTCTGTTTTTGTATTTTGTATCATAAGTTGGATTGATGCATTTATGTTTCTCTCTCTCTTCTGAATAATATTCATCCTATTACATTTTATCAGGGCTATTTTGTGTGTGTTTGCTGCTTTTGAACGTTTTTTCTGTCTCTCCTTTTCTCGCTTACGTGATAAGGTGTGTGTGTGTGTATAGTTAGTTTAAGGTCATGTAAAGTACACACCTAAGTCCTAATGAGATATTATATATTATAGTGTTCAACGAGATTGTAAATATTTTTCCTTCGTATCGACTTATCGGCAGTTATTTTTTGCACATAAATACAGTTTTTTCCCTCTCTCTCTCTCTCTCACTGTATATAAATATACACATATTCTACCTGTTTTGTTGACTGCAACTAGAGTGATTGACAATGTCTCATAACCATTAACTTACTACTGCAAGTATTCGATAGTTTTTATAAAGTGTGTTTAAAATATGCGTGTTATAATAGATTTATCTGCACGTGATAAATATGGAATTTTCCTTCCTTCATAATTCATCTGTTGCCTGATGTATGTGTTGTAAACAAAGACTACTATGTGTAGTGAAAAAATTATTATTATTATTTACTTCATCTTTTGATGGTAAATATTGTATTATTATATATATATATATACTCTTTTAATCTGTATACACCGTTCATATTCAGACATGAAAAGGCCAGCTGTCTTTGGTCATAGGTGTCTGCACTCTATCTCCCGCCCGACCGAAAGCTGCTACCTTGACGTGGTGGCCGGGCTTGAACACCGCAATGACCCTACAAGCTATACTGGCTGAGACTTATGTCGCTTGAGGTCCTACCATGCCAGAAAGGTTGTTTGGATAGCGGTTAGACAAAAAGCAGTTACCCAATCCAACGCTATGACTCATGCCGGATCGGTTGGGGCCCGGATTAACAACGACCGCGCTTCCTGCTGCCGTGTCACAGGGCAGAAGTGATAAATATGCTACTGAAACACACCAAATAAGAAACAACAAACAAAAACAGGCCGCGTGTGACCGGCCTCAAGCAGTTGTCCCCTGGGCTCTGCGGTCACGCAACCAACTTCCACTTTGTGGGCAGCTGGGAAGTAACAATCGCCCTCACAATCCGAAATGCAATCACTCTATTTCCCGGGTTATATGATATAATACAGTGAGTAGTAATATTGAGGCTGGGTTTCGGTCGGTTGTTGGGTAAGTATGGCAAGTCAATCGGTGAAGTTGTAAAGGTGAATTGATTGAGATAGATACGACACGTGATGCGCGTGGTGAGCCATCATCTTGCTCGACAGGCACAGTGTTAGCCATATCACACCAACTGTCTCCAGTCGTTGGTTCTTAAAATCACGAGGATTTCATGAACTGGTTGGATGTTTCGGACGTTCCATGTGCCCATGCATACTTTTTCTTCCGTCTCAAGGAGACTCATTGTACTGAATTTTCTATAGCAGTTTATTTTTACAGAGTGTGGTTTCTAGCCTCATGTCCTTACACAGGGATGCAAGTTATGGAGGAGCAACTTTTTGGGTTGCTCCCTTTAGAACCAGGAAAATAAAAAGTAAAGCATTCGGAAAAATAAATAATCACAACAGAAGCTGCGACAACAAATACAATTACTGAAAATAACACTTAGACCAGAGACACATGCCGACTTGGGCATTTGAATCCAATAATATATTCAATTATAGATATTAGTTAGTTATAGGTATCCGCTCAATGTGTTTAACGGTCACAAATTGGCAATTTATATCCACAGAGTCTACAGAGTGTTCGAAAGCAAACCAATTGCAATAAATTCTGGCCAGAGACACCAGAGAAATGAGATTTTTATGTAACCAAGCAAATGTTTTCGTTCAACCACCACTAGCTCTTTTCCAACCCGATCCATCCTATGTCAGCTAACATTGCTCGTCGGTTGAGGAAGGTGATGGCTAGATATGCGTCGTAACACATGTCCTAACCATCTCAATCGATGTAGCTTCACAACCACATCGATTGACTTTTCCTCCTTACCTAACACTCGACCGAAGCCTAACCTCAGTTATTACTCACCTTGTTATATCACCTCTGGTCGATAGCCAGCTGGATATCACATATACGCCAGAGATGGCGTAATTTGGAAAATGCAACAAGAGCCTTTTGTCAGCGGTCAACCCGTCGGGGCTGATGCAACTTCTCAAATAAGCGAAGTGGTCAACACGCTCTACCACTTCACTTCATATCTTCAAAGTTAGGAGTCGATGTAGTCGAGTCCTGTAGCATCATTTTACCTTTGACAGAGGCAAATCGCACTCGAAATATTAGACGGTTTACTGCTCAAAGTGTTCAGAAGAGTCTTCATTTTATCAGCGTCTTCATCCATGTGGACTATATCATCTGCATATTCTAAGTGAACAAGACTATTTCCTGATAACAAATCAATTCCTAAGTCACTGAAGTCATTTAGGATCAGTTCCATTAGTTGTTTGGTAGAATATGATCTCGTTAACATCTAAAAATTTCAATTCATAATCGCAACTTTACTCATGTTAACAATATGTCTACTTACTTTTGACAGTAGTTTTAGCGTGTTTATTTAATTCCTTTTCTAGCATGGATAACTATCGATCTGTGGTTTTTGTTCTGTAACCTGTTGATTAGTGCACAATAGAAGCATTTTTATGAGTAAATAATTATGTTATGATGTCACCACTTTTGTATTTCTCAATAACATTGAGATTGAAATAGGCTCGCCGAGATGGACACGGACGCCGCCGATCACGAATAAGCCAAAAACATTTTACGACAGCTACCTGTTCCCCACAGCCCGCTCTGCTGCCTAAGCGAGAACACACAACGAAGTGAGATGTAAAGTATATTTTAGCATCTCAGCCACAGTATATATTTTACACTTGAATGTATGATTCAAAAAATCAACAAGACTATGTCATCGATAAGTTAATCATCTTGGTCGATAAAATAGTGGGCGTTATTTTACGTAGTCCAATTCTGATTGGTTTATTTCCAGACTGGATATCGATCACTCACGTAGGCCAATTCTGGTTGGTTGATTTCCGGATTGACCTTGGTCGTCACCGTATCACCAATAAAAGATAACCCATTGTTTGTTTGTTTGTCAACATATCAAATTTCTAAAAATAATATTATATTATTTCTTTTTAGATCCCCAAGCTGTCAGAAACAACTGCCTCATCGAGTGAAATAAGTCAGCATTCAAAAGGTGGCTTATTGAAAAAACGAAATGCTTTTGTCAATTTCTTTAGTCGTGGTAAACCAAAACAAAGAAGTAAGCATCAAAGTCAGCATCAGTTAACTGTACCATCAGGTTTACAGTCTGGATCAGAGGAACATGAGACTGCTGTTGGCGATTGTTCCTATCCAACTGTTGATGATCGTATTTGTGAGACAGACATGAATTTAGGCGACAGTGTTGGTGTTGGTGGTGCTAGCATATCAACTGATGCACACGATGTAAAATCTCATCCTGTAGAATATACAACAGAATGATATTTGTGTCTAGTTGTGTTTCCTAGTGTGTGTGTGTATGTGCGTTTGTATGTGCATTTCTCATCAACATCATCATCATCATCTTCGGAGGTGTTTTTTCTTTCTTTCTTTCTGCTTTCACAATTGTGAAACAAGACAAATGTATCAGATCAATGAACTTTTTTCAACATTTGTTCTCCTATTTGTGTGAAAAAAGGCCTTCAGCATCCGGTCACAATCATTTTTCTTTCAGTAATGTCAATATAATGTGATGTGATGAAATCCCACTGTGTTTCTGTGCGTGTATGTGTGCAATAAATAGACAAGAGAAATAAACTACGATCTTTCATAATTTTATTATTATTATTATAATTATTGTTTGAAGGCAATATATAATAATAATAATAATAATAATAATAGAGCTTTACAGACGACAATAGATTGTAACAGTTGTAATCCCAAGCTCAATATTCTTCGGCAAACTTCTCTCCAGATTTATCGGCCATTTTTTGATTTTTTTTTAATTGTATGACTTGATATCTTATTCTTCTTGTTCTTATCTTTTGCATAATTCTTTATGCGCATTTATTATTTTTGTTTAATGGCTGCCTTTCATTCATCTTTCTTGTTTGACTTATGAGACAACTATTATTACCCCGCCCACCTCCGTTTTTGGTGTGACAATCTTTGAAATAGCCGCTATTCTCTTTCTTCGTGCTAATGTTTTCTACTTAATACCTCACTTAAACTATTATTATTACGATTACTAACACGTAATGTATTGTTTTACGTTGTACTTAGATTTTCCTGCCAAGTATTATTATTATTATTACTATAACTTGAGTACATATAGTATATAGATTGTATTTAGTAATCAGATGATATTTAGCACCCTCCGCCCCCCCACCCCCTTCCCAAAAGTTCGACGAATAATGTAACAGCACCCCGTTAATACTTACACTCAGTTATGCGTAAAAATTATACTGATATACTGGATACATTATTTGCATATCTGTTGTTATTATTATTATTGTTGTTAATTTGTGTATTTATTTTCATAAATATTTCCCTAATTTGTCATTTGAACGTTTCCATATGCCTGATTGATGACGTAACTCTGTGAGATCATCATCTTCATATATGTGTATACCCTTGTTTATCTTGCCGTTCTCGGTTTTTTCATCCTTTCTGGTGTGATATATATATATATTGTATACATATGTATGTGCACTCTTAAATTTTCATGCATTTACTTTTTTTTCAAGACAAGGTGAGAATAAACTCTCCATGACATTATCTCTCGGTCCCCCCGAACCCGACCGCCCCCCGTTGCTCCGTCCCATTTCCCGCGCCGTCACCCACCTTCCCAAAAGGCTGTGTGCCTTCTCTTATGAGGCATTTTATTATTCACAAGGTAATCTTTGTGTGCATTTTCATTTATTATTATTATTATTTGTCTTTGTTTGATAAGTAATGATGTTTAGAAAAAGATGGTTTTTTCCTTCTCGAAAGCATTTATTAATATATATATATATATAATATATATATATATATATATAAATATATTTCATTTCCTCATGTGTAATAAATAAATACTATAAGATAGTCTTTTCCTTTATTCTGCATTTATTGTCACTTCTTATATATAATATATTACTGAATTTTATTGGCGCGTACTTCTAGATGCTTGTGTGCAATAACTATTTCCTTTACTGCCCGTGCTGATCCTTCCGAGTATTATTATTATTATTATTGTTACTAGTAGTAGTATTTGCGTATACAGACAGCAATGTTTGCCTCTAGTCCCTTTTTTATAGCATAATACATTTATATACATATACATATTCTGGTATATATATATATATAACTTTCTGTTTGCCTGATGAAGAATGATAAAGAGCGATGAAGAATCACTTTGTTTTTAATCATTTTAGTTAGAATTTGTACAAATTGCTGATGATGATGGCGTGAGTAGAAACTAATAATGATGATGATGATGACGATGTGGGGTGGTGTAATTTAAATGTTATTCTTTATCTCTTGTCAGAAAATAAAGAAAATAATAAAAGAATTTTCGCTTAGTGAGTGTTTTTCTTTTTCTTTTTTAACTGAAACATTAAAATTATTTCTAACCCTTTTCATAGGTGGATCTAATGTATGTGAGCCACCTACCTGGGTTAAGGATATATACATATATATATAATTCCCTTGTGTTCCCAGTAGAACATAAAGCTTCAACAGAACACCTCCAGCAGGCAGTACGACTTCGCCCACAAACCGTCAGCATAGTGTATAAAACAAAATTCCTACACAATACCGGTAACTGCTTTTAGTCTAATCGCTATCCTCACAACCTTCCTGGTATCGTAGGACGTGTAGCTTGTTGGATCACTGCGATATGCAAGCCCGGTGACCACCACGTCGAAGTGGTAGCTGTCGGTCAGGACATCTACAGCACAGGTTTTTTTTTGTATGAAATGGACTCATTTAAATTCTCCTGGCAAACACTGTCGTGACTGGTTGTTAATTTACGTCACTATTGATCATTTTTATTGACTTGAAATTCGAGCTTCCTTGTCATGTGATTTACTTTTTATTAGCTGATAAATTTGGTGTATAATAATGTCTGTTAGTCACACTGGCTGATTCACTTGAGTACCAAGCTTCTAGGAATTTCCTGACTACATTTTTAGTGTTTCTTTTACATAAAATTTCCACATTATCCCAATCATCAAAGTGGTGTTCATAAATTATCCACCTGCATTGATACGGAAGAATGTATATCATGTATTTTTACAGGCAATTTGTGTTGAATGCGGATTCGAAGGGGACGCCCACTTTGACACTTACAGTTCGTACAATTTATTTTTTGAATGGTATTAATTCTATCTCCTTTTTCTGTTGGATCTTTCGGTTTGCACAATATCGAATGAAGTGATTGTGTTGGCTGGCTGGCTGGCTTGTGTGCTATACTTATTTGAAGCGGTCTCAATATTTTAGCTGTGATTTCGGAGATATTTTTTAAATATATGGTAGGATAAATTTTCTTGTTGTCTTTGATGTCATCTTATTCTTGGTGTTGTGACTCGAGTTTAAACACTTTTTAATGAAATTGTGAGGATATGCATTCTTTTTGAGGACGGTTAGTAGGTGTTTTTCCTCCATTGTCTTCAACACCGGAGTAGTGCTATAGTGTGTTTGAACTCTTTTAAACAATGTCTGCACACAGTTTCTTTTTTGTTAGTAATTGCGGTATTGCTACTATAGTTGAATATTTGATCTGTGTGTGTGCATTGATTTTCTTGTGTTAGTTCTCTGGATTATGACATCTGAGAATGGAATTCTATCTAATTCTTCTTCACTCATGGTGAATTTGATGTCTTCAAATATGTTGTTTATTAACATGTGTGGGTATATTCCAGATCATTTCATGCATTCATTACAAATATATCCTCAACATAACGTACTCAAATTTGTGGAATAATTGTGGGTAGGTATAGCTATTTTAATTGTAATCTTTTCATAACGGCTTCAGCTATTAATCCTGATATGGGCGATGATCGCATTGGTGTTTCTTTTATCTATTCTCATATTTGATTATTGAATTGAAAGTATGTTGTAAGATATATAATTCTGTGAGTTCTATCCAATTAGGACATTGCGTTTTTGTGTTCTCATCGCTATAGCTTAGTTATTGCTTATTTTCTTTTGCTAGTTTCGGACCAATTGAAGTACATAATGCGCTGTGTGATATCAAAAGACACCATTATTATTTCATTGTCACCCAGTTGTGAACGTTCTTGATTTTCTCTTCAAAAAATTGGATTGGTGGATTGACAGAATGGTCGCATGATTCTGTTAGTTCTATAGATAGATTATATTTTGAAGTGTTCCTGACAGCAGCGAAGCAATTGGTCGCAAGGGAATGTTTGGTTTGTGTAGTTTTGGACTACCATAAAATAGAGGTAAGACAGGTGTTCGTTAGACTTCATTCGCCATTGATCTTGTTTTGTGATCTGTCCTGATTTCTCGTTAGTTTATTTAATGTTATTTTGATTTTGTTATCTAATGCTTGTATTATAGGGGTTTTCGTCAACTGTTGATATATACATCATTCTCTTTGAGTAAATCATCTGCTTTCTATATTTAGTCTTCTGGGTTCAGGATTATTGTGGTTCTTCTTCCTTTGTCAGCCGGTAGAATAACTACGTGTTTTCTATTCCTCAATTACTTCAATGCATTTTGCTCTTGAGTGTTAAGTGGGGTTCTATGTTATTTTTCAGGTCGGTTATGGGAATGATACATTGATGTATTTCTTGTTGTACTTCCTCATTAATTCAATTTTGAATATTGAGTGTTGATTGTAAGGAAAAAACGCAGATATCTGTTTCTGAGGCGTCACCAGTATTGTAGTTCAGTCCTTTTTGAAGAAGTTGTTCTTCTTACTTGGAGGATTTCATCATGAGCTGACATTAGTAAATAATAATGCTTACTATATAACAACACTGTGAGACTTCATCAAAATGAAAAATTTTATCCATACTGACTAGACGCTTTTGCCAACAACAAAAACAGGACACATCAAAACTTCACTAATGCCTTTTTCCCAACCTTCGACCAGTCAGTCTAGTGTCCAAGCGAATCTAATTTGCTTTTCTAAATGACAAAACTTTCCTACTAAAAACTAAGAATAAGACCACCAGTTGCTTATTGTGTTTAGCCGTAAAACCAAGTACCTGCTTCAGATCATGCTTTAATTTATAAGAAATGTAATCAACAAGTAAGTCTGAGGAAGATTAAGAAAGCTGCAGATATTGGTTAGCGATCATGCAGTCTTGTCTTCTGATGAGCAGTGCATCCAGGAATGGAAATGACTTGATTGAATTACCTTCTAGGGTACTATGGTACATTTAGCAACGAATGACTCAGATATATCGACAAAAACATGAAGGTAAACTCTCCGTCACCGAAAATCACAACTCTTCCTCAGAAGACTCTCTTCATGAACCTGGAATTCAAAG